GTGTTATTTGTTGAAAATCAACCCACTTCAAAGTCTGTATTTCAATCTTCACTATTTCTTGCTTTATCTTCAGTGATTGTAGCATTTGTTGTAGGTCAGTATTTATTCCCAATGGCTGTGTTTTTTGCTGCAAATCAACCTTCACTGTTTCTTCTTCCTCAGAATCAATTTTAGTTAATTCAGGATCCATCCATCCTTCAAAAAAAATATTCCTTCCTTTAGTGGCCAAATTTGTTTCTTTTTATCCAGTTTCAAATTTTTCTAATTTTTCATATACTTGTTGCATTTCTGTTCAGTTTTGGATTCTACATCAATCACCATCTCCCTAAAAGAGGCATCAAGTTTATCAAAGCACTTTTTTTGTACAATTGAGAAGATTTCCTGTTGTCTCAACATCACCTTTTGGTATATATGTAAAGTTGTTAAAGATTCTTGTATTTCCAAAAAAAATCTCTTTAGCTCTTCCATTGTTGCAATAATTCCAATAGCCACAAAGTGGCAGCCAAGATCAGTTCCACTTTTCTTTTCTCTAGATCACTAGCGGTCAAAAGGTTGGCAAGTTGCCAAGTACTTTAGCAGAGGTCCCAAAAACACAGGAGAGGAAATGGAGATTCTTATATCCTTCCTCTTTTCTCCCTTTTCTCTTTTTTTATGCCAATTAACAACAGATACAGTTTTTCCACAAGTAGTATTGCAAAAGGAAAATAGGAATGCTCACCCAAACAGTCATTACATTAAAGAAGAAAGCATCCAACAATGTGAAAAATATCCTGGCGAGTGTCCAGTTGATCTTGGCAGAAGTCCAAACCGATATCCAAAATGATCGGTCAAAGCTTTGAACTTCTATCACGTAATTGCACCTTAAAAATTTAAACTAATTTTATACCCTTAGAGAGGTTAGAGGAAAAAGTCTTTTTCTTCGGCTTCAACTTGGACAAAAACTCAACATTACATTACATTCTGATCAGAAAAAATCGATCAGTGAAAGGCGGGATAGATTAGTCCGATCAGTTACAATTGGGATGGAAGGAACAGCTGTAAGGTGGTTCATGGTAGGCTGTAGAATCAGACTTGGAAAGTGCTTTCCAAGTGGCACCTTCTCATACTGGGATGCGGCCATGAGTGGGATACAAGACTCAGTTCTGAGCCCAGTTATCTTCAAAGTTTGATTAATTGCTTGGACAAAGTGATGAAGGGAATGCTGATTAAATTTGCAGATAACAAAAAAAAATTAGGTGGGAGCTAATACCCTGGAGGACAGGGAAAAAATTAAAGTGAACTTAATAGACTGGGCAAAAGGCAACAGAATGAAATTTGATAGGGAGAAAAGACGAGGTATATGCCTAGGAAAAGGGAACCAAGCACACACTTACAAGATGGGAGATACTTTGCTTAACAACACCACAAGTGAGAAGGATCTTGGAATTATTGTAGATCATAAGTTGAATAAGAGTGAACAATGTGATGTGGTTGCAAAAAAGTACATGCTACATTAAACTGCATTAACAGAAGCATAACTTTCTGTGAAGGGTTGGTGGGGCTTGCCATCTCCTACTTGGGAACAAGCCAAGGGAGATACACAAAGGGAACAAAGAGACAGTGAAACCTACACCTGGGGTGACAAGACTGTTGACAGTGGAGTGTTGGGCAGGGGAAACATGTGCTCAGTCCATCTTTGAGCATCCAGATATGCAGGTGCTTTCTCTGGGAAGAGAGCACCTGGGGGAGAGGGTGGAAAGGGCATGGCACCCACAGTATAAAGTGAATAATGAAGAAAAGGACGAATAGGTGGATGTGGCATAGAGAGAGGAAGGGTGGCAGCAGCAGGGAGACAAAGGCGGTAGGAGAATGGGACTCGGGGGGAGGCAGGAAGGGAGTTTAAACTCCACCGTCTGGGGCAGAGGCAGGGGTATCAAGGTGGACATAGCTCACCCTTCTCCCCTGAGATGAGGAGTCTCCATGAGAGAGAGGCACAGCCTGTGGAGAGTTGGTGAATGGGAGAGGAATTGCCCTGCTGCGCATGCTCACTGAGAGGACCCGGCCGAGAAGGGGATTGCCAGTGCAAAAGCCAAGGCTCTGTAGAAGCGGACAGAAGCCCTTGGGGGCACTGACAGGCCATGGTGGAGGTGATAATCCTTGCCCTAGCCAAGCATACTTGCAGTTAGAGATGGTCTCCTCCTCAACTAAGACTCTGTATGAAGAGGCCAGGTGGCTCTGCAGTCTCTCTAGCCAGTATTACATTAAAGGTGCTGTGTTGCTGACCAAGACTGTGTGTGATGATGGAAGCAATGGAGCTGGGGTGGTGGTGGTTTAAAGTTCCCCTTCCCCTGACACAATCACACTTTCAAATCCTGTGATGTACTGGTCTCCATTTATTCAGCATTAGTAAGGCCCTATCTTGTGCACTGTGCCCAGTTTTGGGCACAACAGTCTAAGAAAAAGGGTAGTAGAAGGGACATGGGGAATTACGGACCTGTTAGCCTTACATCCGTTGTAGGAAAAACAATGGAAAGGCTCATAATAGAGAAAGATCTAGCGATGCTAGATAGGGAAGGAAGCTGACAGCCACACAACACGGCTTCTGCAAGAACAGGTCCTGCTAGACAAATCTTGTGGAATTCTATGACAAGGTTTCGAGATGGCTAGATGGAGGGGATGCAGTGGATGTGGTATACCTGGATTTCAGCAAGGCCTTTGACAAAGTGCCTCATGATATCCTGGTGGAAAATCTGAGGAGTTTTGGGATACACCAAAGCACTGTCCGGTGGATTAGGGTACGGTTGACTGACTGAAAGCAGAAGGTAACCCCATTAGTGGGGAATCATCAGGATGGTGGCCAGTGACAAGTAGGAACCCCCAGGGCTCTGTCCTGGGGCTGATCCTGTTTAATCTTTTCATAAGTGACATGGAAGAAGGGGTGAACAGTCTGCTGATCAAATTCACAGACGACACTAAAACTGGAGCAGTGGCCATAACTGAGGAGCAGGTACTCCAGCTCCAAAAGGATCTGGACAGACTGTGGAAGTGGGCAGGAGACAACAGGATGGCGTTCAGTGTTGATAAGTGCAAGGTCTTGCACTTGGGGCATAGGAATAGGTGTCATAAGTACAGGTTAGGTGACAAGTGGCTGGAGAGCAGCACTTGTGAAAGGGACCTCCAGGTACTGGTTGACTGCAGGCTAAACATGAATCAGCAGTGTGATGCGGTGGTCAAGTGGGCGAACACCACTCTTGGTTGCATAGCCAGAAGTGTGGCTTCTAGATCAAGAGAGGTATTACTACCACTCTGTACGACTCTGGTGCGTCCGCAACTGGAGTATTTTGCTCAGTTTTGGGTCCCTCATTACAGGAAGGAAATAGCCAGGTTAGAGTCAGTATAGCATAGGGCCACAAGGGGATGGACTATGAGGCGAGACTGAGGGAACTGGGTCTCTTCAGCCTGGAGAAGAGGAGACTCGGGATATGTTGGCGACATACAGGTATGTGAAGGGATGTGACATGGAGATGGGTAGAGACCTGTTCTCCCCTGCAGAGGAAGGCAGGACGTGCTTCAATGGAGCAAAGCTCAGGGAACCAAGGTTCCATTTAGATGCCAGGAAACACTTCCTGACAGTTAGGACCTGGAGGGTGTGGAATTGCCTTCCACAAGAGGTCGTTGAGACCCCATCAGTGAGGGTGTTCAAAGATAGGCTCGACATGCCCATGGTGGGCATGTCGTGAGTGGAGCAGGCTGGTGTTGGAGGTCAGAATATATGGCCTGGGAGGCTCCTTCTGACTCGCTCTGTTTCTGTGTTTCTAAGAAGGATGCAGACAAATTAGAAAGAGTTCAGAGGAGGGGAACATGGATGATATGGGAACTGGAAACAAAGCTCTATGAGGAGAGATTGAAATAACTGGGTGTGTTTAGCTTTGAGTAAAGAAGACTGACAGGAGATATGATAGCACTCTTGAAAGGCTGTAACAAAGAAGGAGGCCAGGATCTCTTCTCGATCATCCCAGAGCACAGGATATGAAATAATGGGCTCACATTACAGGAAGTGAGGTTCTAGCTGAACATCAGGAAAAACCTGCTGACTGTTAGAGCAGTGCAACAATTGATTCAATTACCTTGGGAGGTTGTGGAAAATCCCATTCTGGAGGCACTGAAGAGGAAATTGGACATCTCTCAGTGGTGTTTTGACTGGGGACCTGCATTTAGTAGGGGGTTGGGCTTGATAACATAGGTCCCTTCTAGGTGTAATATTCTGTGATGCTATGCATCTTTATTTCCCTTTCCCTTTCTTCCATTTTATGTAGCATGGAGAATGAAGGAATTTGCCTTGGTCAAAAGAGGATTTATAGATAGAAGTGGGAGCATGCTATACCCTTTATGAGACATATTTAACTGGCATGATCAGTTGTCAATGCTAGAATTTTTTTCCATGAAAACACTTAACATTTCTTACTCTTAGAGCACTCTCCTTTGCATGCTTAGACAGAAAGAAGTCCTATAGCTCTCAGATTTCCCTAGCTAGTCTTGCTAGATGGGGAATGTTGGGAGTTTGAAGATGTTTTTTAGTCATAAAGTGTATAGGATTGTGCCTTTAAATATGCAAAAATTAGCATAATTAATATGCTGGTTTCAAGTACCAGAATTTCAAATACGAAATCCTTTATGTATTTCTGTTTTCCAGAACTTGCCATCAAGATGTTGGACTTTAAAAGCAGCCCCTTCCTTATGCTCCTCTGTCTCATCACAAATTGTCTTCTAAACTTTTTTTGTTTCAAAAGTTGTTTGTTACATGATACATGGGCTGGTGAAGACAAATTAAAAATAAAATGGTATCTTGTCTCTCGATTGTTTCCTTTCTAAACATAACTTTGAAAATGGCCCATATAGAATTCAAATTATTGCATTAGATTTATGTGGCTATGTTTTAGTATTTTGTTACATGATAGTAGCTTTTGTGAATGTTCAGCTCTATATATCTATATCTTTAAAACCCTTTCTGAACATTTTAGGACGTATTGGTTCCCAAGTCATCATTCCATATCGCTGTGATCAGTATGACCTTATGTATCTTCGGCCTATGGGTGACCTGGGACAGCTCATTTTTATGGTAGGTTTTCTGACTTTTCCCAGTTAATGATCCAGTTAGATTGGTGATATATTGTGCATATTAAGCAGCAAAAAGTTGGGCCTTGAACAACATATTTCTTCAAGATTTTGGTACATTCTTTCATTTCTGTTGTTGCTTGCTATGTTTACCAGGAATGGGATTCACACAACAAAGATTCTACAAGAAGAGTTCTTGAACATAGCAATGTAGTCATCAATCTTGTTGGGAAAGAATGGGAAACAAGGTAATATCTTGGACTCTTTTGAATAGACTAAAGGATAGCCATATAGACTTTGAGCTTTCATGCCAATTTCAAGCTTCTCTCCCAGCTGTGCTGTGTAGAATGATGTCTACCATACTTTCAGGTCCCTAAGTTGGGAAGAAGCCTGAGCCTGATGTTTGCGAGCAAGACACGCACAAATGTGGAATTGTGCACATTTTATGGATGGTTGTTTGATGTGAGAGTAAACTGGCTTACCCAAAACTATCTAGTAGGTTCATAGCTGGTGTTAGGTTTGTGCTCTTAGCCATTTCTCTGCCCCATTTTGACTGTGATGTGATAAATTAACAACTTGGCAATAAACATGGGTAGTAATTATTTTTTCTTGTTTTCTTTCAGAAACTTCAGATATGAGGATGTCTTCGTTAAAATTCCCAAGCAGATTGCTCAGCTCTCAAGGGAAGCTGGAGTAGAAAAATTTATTCACATTTCTCATCTGAATGCAGACATGAAGAGTCCTTCAAAATACCTTAGGAATAAAGTAAGTCTGATTTTGAATGTTACTATCTTTGGATTTACCTGTTGCTATTTTGTAAGCAGATTTTCAAAGTATTAGGGACTCTACATGCAGATATTTTCATGTTTAACTTTTCATTTATATATAAATACAAAATACTCTGCAAAGCTCAAGGAGTTGTAGGCTTTTCAGAAACAAAGGAATATAAAATCAGTCTTTTCCTTAATTCTACTTCACAAATTAGGGCAAATGTTTAGAAAGTTAGTTTACTATGTTTTTGTGTGATCTTCAAGCTCCCCAAAAGATATGGTCACTCCATAAAAATATGAGGGACTATACTTTGGATTGAAGATGAAGTATTTCTGAACCTATAGAGGAAGTGATTCTGGAACGAAAGTAGGAAGCAGCAGTTCCTAAAGAAAAAGAAGACATCAAACATAGAACCTATAGAGCAGGGGTCCTCAGACTTTTTCAACAGGGGGCCAGTTGAAAGGTGCTGGCGGTGGACATGAGCCGCCAAGGCTGAGCCAGCGGAGGTGTGCAGGCCGGTAAGGGGGCGGGGGTGCAGCGCAATGAGACGGAGTGGGGGTGCATGCATGGGGGGTGTGCGTGCGGTGAGGCGGGGTGGGGGGGGCGCAGGCAAGGCAGTGGCTTGCTCGCACTGACTGATAAATGGGCTTGGTGGGCCGGATCTGGCCCATGGGCCATAGTTTGAGGACCCATGCTATAGAGGAAGTGATTCTGGAAAGAAAGTAGGAAGCATCAATTTCTAAAGAAAAAACAAACAGAAAGCACTCAAATCAAACATAGAAACAAGATAATCAAGGTTGAGAGACAAATGGTCAAGGAATATCTAGATGGAATAAACTTGTTCAAATCTCTAGGGCCCAATGAATTCCAGAGTCATAAAAGAGCAGAGGAACTCTCAGAACCACTGTCTATTATTATTGATAAATCCTGTAAAACAGGAGAAGTGCCAAACAACTGGAGATGGGCTAACGTTGTCCCTATCTTAAAAAAAGGAAAAAAAAGATGAATCTGGGAACTGCAGACCAATTAGTCTGACATCAATCCCTGGAAAAGTTCTGGAACAAATTATTTTAAAAAATCTGTCTGCACACACCTTGAAGAAAATGCAGTAGTTCATAAAAGCCAACATGGATTTATCAAGAATAAATCCTGTCAGACTAATTTAATCTCAGTTTTTGACTGGGTAACTCCCAGACAGACAGAGGGAACACTGTGGATGTAATCCACCTTTAGCAAAGTTTTCACATCCTCCTAAGCAAATGAGTGGACTAGATAGAACAACTACTAAGTGGATCCAAAATTGGCTGCTAAATCAGAGACGAATTGTGCTCATCAATGGCACCTTCTCAAACTGGAGGAGGGTAACTAGTGGGGTGCCACAGGGCTCAGTCCTGGGCCCAGTGCTCTTCAACATCTTTATTAATGATTTAGATGAGGATAATCAGATTTGCAGATGATACAAAACCGGATGGAATAATGAACCACAGCAATTCCAGGACGATCTTGGTAAATCTGAACACTGGGTTGAACGTAACAGAATGAGATTCAGTAGGAACAAGTGCCAAGTCCTCCATCTAGGAAAAAGAAACCAAATGCATCAATACAAGATGAGGAATGTATGGTTCAGCAGAGCTGCAAAAGAAAAAGATCTCGGAGTAATTGTGGACATGAGGTTAAATATGAGCCAACAATGTGATGCAGCTTTGAAAAGGGCAAATGCTATTTTGGGATGCATTAATAGAAGCATTACTTCCTAATCATGAGAGGTAATAGTTCTCTTATATTCCTCACCACTCAGACCTCATCTAGAGTACAATGTCCAGTTCTGGGCACCAAGTTTTATGGAAGATACAGAAAAATGAGAAAGGGTCTGGAGGATGGCAACAAAAATGATCCATGGTTTGGAAACACATGAGGAGAGACAGAACTGGGCATGTTCACTCTTGAAAAGAGAAGACTGAGGGGGAACATGATGCCACTGATACCAGAGTGCAGAACACGGAATAATCAAAACAAGTTGCCCCTGCTATCAAGTTCAGGCTAGATAGCAGGAAAGGTTTCTCACTGTCAGATCAATACAACAGTGGAACGAGCTGCCTAGAGAGTTGGTGGTCTCTCCCACACTAGAGACATTCAAAAGAAACTGGACAGCCATCTGAGCGGGATGGTGTAAATTGGTGTCCTGCAACAGCAGGGGGTTGGACCTGATGGCCTTCTTGACCCCATTCCAACTCTATTATTTTATGATTCTATGAAGTGTATTGTTTCTGTTGTGCATGTATCCAGAGGGGTTTGCCAGAATTATCATGCTCTGTGTCTTAGTGATCCATGTTGGATCAAATAATACTCTCAGACATGGCTTTGGTCATATTGCCACTGACTCACATTAGAAAATCAAAGGACCTTGGAGAACCGGTGATACAGGAAGAGAGAGGAGAATACTGGAAGAAAACAATTGGAAACACATATGGGAAAGTTTTGGATTCCTGGATCCCATAATCTGTGTTTGCATGATGAAGGATATGGCTTATGAGTCATGAGTATGGAAAGAAATATTTGGCAGGAATTTCAGAAACCTGAGCAATAGGGCTTAAGCTAAATCCTTGGAGTTTGGGCAAGGTAATCATAGATGAGAATACAATATAGAGAGCAGTAGGGTATACAGTTTGTGTTGTTTCAAGTATCTCTCTACTATGGTTGTATATTTCATTCATTTCTTAGTCAAATTGGGCTGCTGATGTTTAATGAATCCAGTTTGGAGTGGGAATCTGTTGAATTTTCTCAGCTTTGCTCCCTGGACTCTAGCCTGCTTTCTCTGTACCCCATATCAGAGTGTCCAGCAGGAAGCAACCAGTCTGCTGAACAAATTTGCAGATGATACCAAAGTAGAAGTGGTAGCCATAACTGGGGAGCAGGTACTTCAGACTCAAAAGGATCTGAATGGACTGTGGAAGTGTGTGGGGGACCACAGGATGGCGTTCAATGTGGATAAGTGCAATGTCTTGCACCTGGGACTCAGGAATAGGTGCCATAGGCGCAGGATGAAGGACAAGTGACTGGAGGGCAGTGCTTGTGAAAGACATGTCAGGGTACTAGTCTATATTAGGTTAAAGATGACCCAGCAGTGTGACATAGCAGTTAAGAAGGTGAATGCCACCCTTGGATGGATAGGCAGAAACGTGGCTTCCAGATCAAGAAAGGTGTTAGTTCCCCTCCGTAAGACTCTGGTGCACCCACAACTGGAGTATGTTGTCCAGTTTTGAGTTCCACATTATAAGAGAGTCATAGCTAGGTTAGAATCATTTCAGGATCACAAGGATGGAAGCCAGATTGGGTGGTGGGGGGGATGACATATGAGATGAGATTGAGGGAGCTGAGTCTTTTCAGCCTGGAGGAGACTCCAAGGGAATCTTACAGTGACATATAGGTATGTGAAGGGGTGTCACACAGTAGAGGGTCATGACCTGTTCTCCCCTGTAGTTGGGGAAAGGATGTGGTCCAGTGGGATAAAGCTCAAGAAATTGGGTTTCAGATTGGATGTCGGAATGTACTTCCTGCTGTTTAGGAGCCCTAGGATATGGAATAGGCTTCCATGGGAGGTAGGGGGACCCTATCAGTGAGGGTGTCCAAGGAAAGATTGTTCCTTCTGATTTGCTTGTGTTTCTATGAAGTGAGTCCAGCTGTTTCATACTGCATTACAAATGTGTAGGTATAACATGCAAGGTATAATATGGCTTGCACACATAACTCATCCTGCCAACACACCTGCCTAACTGCTGTACAAGTGGAGTTCTGCTTCCACACACATGACTTGCAGGCTTTATGTACTTATTGGGAGAATAATTCAGGCCTGCTAGCAAGTGTTTGTAGACTTGATCTTGACTCATCTCAATTATTAGGCTGGGGCTGAACATGGAAAAGAAGTTTGGTGAGTGCATGAGAACTGGATTCCAGGGAGATTTTCACATCACTTAATTGGTCTGTGTTGGAGAGATTCTTTGGTTCTCTGAGATTTTTTTTCTGAAGCAAAGGAGAATTTCTTTCTGAAGCAATGAAAATAGAAAGTAGGTCTATCTTCTAAAGACAGAATGGTTTCCCTGGGGCCTTCCAGTCACATAGCTTTGGGTGAGGAATGGTGAGTCATATGATAATTGGCTCAAGTTTGCTTAGTAATGTTGTCACCACTATTTGCCTCTGTTCCTTAGACTTCCTTCTTGAAATTATCAGTTCATGTTCTGATAGTTGCCCTACATTTTCTACAGTAAAAGTAGTTTACAAGAATTCATTCAGTTTCTCTGCAATTTCCTTATCTTTTATTATTCCCAGTGGTGTCCTCCCTGCTCTAGATCCTATTTGTCAGGATCTGAAGCAGTGACACAGCTTCTCTTGGTGACATGATTGTGAAAGGAAGCATGGTTCATCCTGCAAGTGCCTGTAGGACCAGGATGAGACCTGTAGGTAATTGCAAGGATTGGAACCTGTGCAGTTATGCAGCACAGCTGGAAGGTTCTGTAAAAGGCTTCCCTGTACTGCTCAGCTTTGCTACAGTAGCACAGGTTTTTGGAATGGCTGCTTCATGTTTCTAGTTCTGTATGCTCCTGACTTTGTTGACTCAGTCTTGTCAGCAATTTGGCACTGGCTGTGCCCCTGGCCATGCCTTGCTGATATTTGAATCCAGCTTGTGTCTGCACTGCATGTTTCCTCTAGCCTTGCTATGCTTCACTGCTCTTCAACCTCTACTTGTACCTGGACTTTTCTTTCATCTCTGGTCCTTCTGTATTTCTGCCAAGGTCTCAATTCTTTTCCAGCACCCATGGTCCTGGTGCCCAGGCCATAGCGATCTGCCACTAACATCCCAATACTGACGTTGTGGTGAGATGTGACAGTCCATTTACTTGATTGTACCTGAGTGCTTTGTTTGGCTCTGTAGAACCCACTCTGTTCCTTGGTAAGCTAGAGAGTTTCAGCAATGAAATTGTCTAGTTGTTGGCAAG